CCGGTTATAACTTAACCAAAAGTTTTTTTATTTATTTATTTAAATTTTTATTATTATCATTATTTATTTTATTCTATTTGTGTTATCGTTAACCTTGTTTTCACATCTAGTATTTGTTTGTAATTTTCCGCCTCTTCGTATTCATCACTATCTAATTATTTGCACACATCTTATTACGTAATGATTTTAACGTTTTGTGATTACTATTCCTAGTCTGTTTACCCATGTTTGACCTTCTATTCCCAACGTTTACCTATTGATAATAGTTTTGTTATTGTGTTTTATTATTCTTACTATTATCAGTTCACCTGTCTTCCTACTATAAACTTGTACTTTTACCTATTATGTGTAGAGACTTATTCTATCTCACTGTGATTATTGACCCATATTGCTTTGATTGGTTCACATTTTCGTATAAATATTCATGTATGTTAGGGTAAAGCCTGATGACGGTCTAATTGAAAACAATTGTCCGCTTATATGTGCTGTTCTAATTTTCACAGTGGAAATCTTTAACATTAGGAGATTTTAATACTACTTTAAGCAGCATGGTTTGGTTTTAATTTCGCTTGACTACACAGTCTATACACCTTTAGCAAGGTGACTCCGGAGATATTCTTATGCATAATTTGATTTAGCAACTCTTTCGTCAGCCTAATGTCATGCTCAAAACGATTCTTAGGTTTAGAGCCTTCACTCTCTTCGAATTACTTACTTAGCCTGTTACTCCCAATGGAGTATAGGCCATCGACCAGCATTTTGCTACATATTCTGCTCTGGGCTTTCCCTTCTAGTTTTATCCAATTTTGTTCATTCTTTTCTCCTGAATTAGTTGTTATGTGTGTGATGAAGGAGCCAGTTCACCTGCGAAGTTCAGATTGTCCAGCTACATCCTAGCTGATGGAGACAGACTGAGGCACCTCAAATTATTTCCGTTATCTTATTGCAGATTAAAGTGTGATTTAATCTCGGCTTATTGTATACGGAATGGTGACCTTGGTATTAATATGTCTTATCTTTTCTTCCCGTTTAGAACTGATTGCTTGAGAAGATATTCTAAATAAGTTAAAAAACCGAGATTAAATCGTACGACTGGAGCTTCGTTTCTCACACTGAGTAGTGAATTACTGGAATTTTCTGTAATATCAGATTTCAGATCCAGATTTGTGTAGTAAGGACAGAAGGCCTACGGCCTATGTTATTCCTTTCCTAGTATGCTTCTGTGCTTATGTGTACTTTTTCTAGTATGTTCGAGTCACCTTTTAAACAGGGGCTTGCCTCCTGAGAGCACTTCTCTAGCTTAGTTCTCACTAAGGATGTCTGTACTGTGGTGAACATGGTAGTATCTAACTTAGTGAATGTCCTTTTTAAAGCCCAGAGGGTTCGAAACCTCTTGGCTGCGACCTCCCGGCAATGGGCCATCGTCTTAAGATCATTACTCACTGTCACCCCTAGATCCTTATGAGACCGGACTACTGGTAATGCACATCCCCTATGTTGTACTTATTAACCTTTGAATCCCCAAGTGCATGTAGACACACTTTTCCGAGTTGATAGGCATCAGCCACTCTTTAGACCAGTTTATCATATTATTTAAGTCTGCCTGAAGAGTAAATGCGTCTTTGTCTCCAGTTATTGCTCGCCAACGTTTTACATCGCCAGCGTATAATAACATTGGAGACTGTACTATACTTGTAAGATCATTAACGTACATTATAAAAAGTAAAGGACCTAAGACGGAACCTTGGGGTACTCCACTAAGTACTGGTCTCCAGATGGAACACTTAGAATTTATTCTTACTTTTTGTCTACGACCTACTAGGAAATCCTTAATCCATTTTAAAAGAGGTCTGGCAATACCAAGGTTTTCCTACTTCAATAGCAGTGCCAACTAATGTTGGCACCTTGTCAAAAGCTTTACTGAAATCTATGTAGACAACATCCACTGAGTTTCCGTTGTCTAGCGCGTTAATCCAAAACTCTCTAGCTATAAGAAGGTTCGTTGTACAGGATAGACCCTTTCTAAAACCATGCTGTGCCATGTTCAGCAAGTTATCGGTTTCCATAAATGCCGTTCTGGTCCGTTTGATTATTCTTTCCAGTATTTTAATTACAACACTGGTGATGCTTACGGGTCTGTAATTCGATGGAACTTGTCGTGGACCTGTTTTATGTACGGGAGTGATGGTTGCGTCCTTCAAGTCCATAGGTGACACACCTTGGTCAAGTGACATTTTGAATATCACAGTCAGTGGGGCCGCGATATATTGGGCAATGTCTCAAGATTTTGGAGTGTAGTTCATCTGGTCCTGTTGACTTCTCCATGTTTAGGGTGCTAAGAGCTTTAAGCACATCGTTTTGGTCGAAGTCCACGGTGAGCAGCTGGTTTGTTGACTCTATATTTGGGTCTTGTTCTTTCTCTAGAGGAGGTTCCTGAGTGAAAACTGCCCCAAAATAGTCAGCCATAGCCTCTGCTTTTTCTTGATCTTCCTCTATCATTTCAGATCTATTCCCTTCTTCAATTAGGTTGAGAATCCAATGATGCATCCTTGTTCTGTAGTTTATGTACGAGAATATTCTCTTGGGCTGCTTGAATGCAGGTTGTGCCAGCTGCATTTCATATTTTCTTTGAGCTTCCGGAATTTTCGTTATACACTCGTTTCTTATCGATCTGTAGCGTCCCATCGTTCCTGCTGTGCCAAGGCGGATGGTTACGTCCCAGCATTTCTTCTTTCGTCTTGGTAAACGTCGAATATCCCGCCCTATCCAGGGATGTCCGTGCTTCTTTTTCTTTGGGACAGTCCAGGGTATGTATGGTTGAGTTACCCGATTGTATAACTGCCTGAATAGAGTTCATGCCTCTTGTACTGATGCCTTTGAGTCAATTTCCCAGTTTTCAGCCGATGCTGCGGAGTTAATTGCCCATATGTTGGGACGGGCCGGTGCAACTGTTTGACAGGCAATCTCAGCCATGAATTCGAATAAGATGACTGCATGGTCACTTCTCCCAAGTGGTGGGAGAAAAGCCATTTGACGAACGTCATCACCGTGTGTGAAGACTAAATCTAAAAGAGAGGAAGAGTTTCTTAAGTCGTATCTTGTGGGATCTCTAATGTGTTGGAATAATGCTAATCCAATCGAGGTTTCTAACAGTTTGCAGTCGAACGACGATATGGATGACCCTACTTCTAAGTTAACCCAGTTTATATGTGGTTCATTAAAGTCGTCCACTACAAGACTTTTGCTGTTGTTACACCAGGACCTAAGTTTACTTAGGATAAAATCATCTGCTACAATTCTAGACTGTGATATACTACAACTAATTCAATATCTTGCCGTCGGCACTTCAACTTACATCTCACCAGTTCACATGTCCCTGAAACATGTTCTACTGTCTCAGCTAATCTTAGGTAAGGGTACTTTTCGTGTACAGAATAACCCCGCATCCCCTACGGTTCAATCTATCAGCCCTACTGGTTATGAAACCAATCAACTGGATTTCACTATCTAATACTTCTGACGTTAACCAAGTTTCCGAGACAGCAATAACGTCCGGTTTCTCTTTATCCATCACTGACTTGAGCTCAGCCATTTTATTTAGTAGGCTGCGAGCATTTGTGTAGCATACCTTTAAGTCTGTGGAGAGCTTTCCCTTGCCACCCAGAGTGGCTTGGGGATCGTTTTGCTACGAACTTTTACAACTTGAAAATCCTTAAGAACAAGGTTTCGTTCCCCGTTTTGGCGACGTTCATTTATTTCCTCTTCTGCAGCTCGTCTCTTAATACGATCAGCTAGGCTGACATCTTCACGGACACATATTCCGGATCCTATCAGTTTACGTGGATTACTTAGAATCAGGCTCCTTTCTTCCACCGTGTTGAATGTAACCTTCAGGAGGCGGTTTTTCGGAGGACTTTCGGAATCCACCTATTTTCCTATTCTATTAAGCTTACAAATACTGATTCCTGAAACTGTATCTGGGAGTAGTTTACCTAATGATATCCTAATATGATTGAGATCGTGTTCAAATCTCGCCTTTGGTTCTTTATCTGAAGATTCTCTGATCTTATGAAAAATGACTGATCTCTCAGAGAGATCTGTCTTGTCACTCAGTGAGGATTTTTTTTCTGATTACATCCCTTCCAATGCCTTGCTGACCAGCTGCGTTTTGCTTACAGCCTTTTTCTTCCCATTTCTTTTTCTCCTTACTGAAGTCCATTTGTCACCAGTCAGGACAGCCACACCTGGACTACGTAGAACGGTGACAGTTATATCCGGATCTTCTATTTCGACTAGAGGTCTATGACTGCCGATGTCAATATCAAGCGGCACTTCATTCCTCGTTAATGTCAACGGAGATTTCACGTTCCCATCAACCAAAGTACTTTTATTTAAAGTAGACCAAGAATGCTTTTTGGTGCAATAAGTACCCAAAGCAAGTATAATCACAACTACAAAAATCACTGCCCTTTTTGAAACGAGCGCGATAGCGAGGTTTGTTGAAATATTCAAAACGAGACTGGACCTCCACAGTGTTGCAAACTGCAATGATTGATATATGTTGATAGATCTCTTATTCTTGTTACTGAAGACTGAGGATTGAAAAAGATTCTTGTGCACTGAAAATGGCACTTTATTTAAAAGCCACAAGGTCGAAGCTATGTTGGCGTTCGGCCTTCTCATCTTCTTGTCTTCTGTGTCAATAAATGAAGCAGTAAGTGTTCCTGGAGTGACGCCGAATGAGTTTTATAAGGGGGATTCTATTGAAGTCAGGGTATGACGTAGCTTTTTTTAAGATGAATTTACCTTCAGGCCGTAAAGTTGACTAGCTACTTAACTCAACTCCCTTTTGAGTATTATAAACTCCCGTTCTGTCGTCCGAAGCAGTTAGTTGAGTACCCACCGGAGAATATTGGTATAGCTTTATTTTTTAACCGGAATTCAATCTAGGTGAGATACTTCGCGGTGATCGTGTCGTCAATACTCCATATTCCATAAAAATGGCCGAAAATACAGGTTGTTCTGAAGTCTGTCCACCTCTCACTTTAAGCAGTGCTGATGCCGTCCTCCTGAGACATTTCATTTTAAGCCAGTATTCTGTTCATCTGTAATTAAACCTGTCGTTTAATTAGCTTTCTTGGTAAAGGTCTATCGATAACCTTCCTTGCGGAACCAAAGTGTCTTCTGATAACGGAAAAAACTTTCGATATGAGCACGGATACAGACTTGGGTCAGTTGTCGATGGAGTGGCCTATGTTAATAATCACCTAAAGTTTATACTGCAATACCACCAAACTGATGAGTATGTTAACTTGACTTATTTTACATTTCCATAGTGGTCACTACCGTTTTGTCGGCTTTGAAATCGAACCCATGAGGTAAGTCTTCAGTATTATCATTTTCAAAAGTATTTCCGAAAAAAACCTGCACATGGAGAATGGGGTGTGCAAAGATTTAGATTCAGATATGTCGATTGCCAATTGGAAAAAGATTGACGGAAAGGAGACCGTAATACATTTTACCAGCGAAGTTGTTTGGGAACCATCAGACATAAAATGGGCTTCGCGCTGGGACATCTATCTCAAAACAGCAAGTGGCCAATTACATTGGTTTTCAATCATTAACTCTGTGGTTATTGTACTCTTTCTTACCAGTGAGTTTTACGTACTTTATATTCGGAGCTCTGTATATTAGCTGTTTTGCATGGACAATGAAACTTTATGACCTTTTCGATCATGGTCACCTAAGTGTTCTCGTTTTACATATTATGCACCTGCTACTCATTAACCATGAATATTGTTTTCATCTGGTTATATTCAATGGAAATAATAAGTACTTACTCATTCAAAACAGTCCATTCAGTACACCAAGAATATTGTCTAGATTTGCGACTAAAGAAATTCAAGTGCTGCGTACAAATCAGTATACATGCAGCTGACATGATGCGCATCCAAGACTTACTATGACTAGTTTTAAAACGATCTTGACTATCTTGTATTTGTTTTTGAATTCCTCACTACAATTAAGGCCAGATGAAGAGCGTTTAAAATAAAATTAGTTGTAATTATCTTGTAGTTAATAAGCTATACTATTGAATATGTCTGATAATATTGCATTGATCTTGTTCTGTTCAAAACAGTCAATTGAAAAAAGGTTCAGTCTTATTGTCTTTAATGAGCGATGCTGTGATAAAATCTCATCCAAACATGTTAAAACATTATCATCTGTTGAGATAAGCACTTGTGTGTTCAAGTAAAAATTTTTGTAGGTTCTTCTACAGGACATCAGTATGTATAATTCTTTCTGAAATTCACTTTCATTAGCATGATAACTATCAGCTTTCTTCATCTTTAGCTTCTACTTTTGCCTTGATTACAATCACATCAGTTAGATTTGATTCCAAAACTGAATGTGACATAGCAACTCTGTGTGTTTCAATCTAGAGTATTCGGGGAACTGAACTTGTTTTCTCAACTTAAACTGCAACATAAAGTTCAGTAGGAAAAACACTTCTGTTAATCAGTTGGTCTGCATAATTTGGCTGGATTGAAATTCGAAATACTTTTACACATATCGGTGTCTGTTTGAGTTACCAACGAACAAATGTGCAGATTGTGGTTTCAACCAACGGAAATAAAAGCCCTACTGAAAAGGTTCAAGGTTGTTTCAGTCAGTAGTAAACAATGTAGAACCTGGTACATTAACGCATCGGCTTATGTGATGAACAAGATTGTATCCGGAGTAGCCAGGTTTCGAAAGGAAAAGGAGCTATAGTACATTGGTATCCAAACGTAAGTTGGAGTTGTCCCGCTACGTCAGAACAATGAGATGATATAATCCTGATGAATACCAAAGTAGAATTATCAGGTGTAGCAGAAAAGAACACGGGTAGATAATATTATTCGAGAGTGAAATAGAGGGATAAAAAGTATAAAATAGTTTTATAATTCAAGATCTAAGAGAAGATAAAAGGTTAATGTGTTTACGCCATTGTGAACGATTCTGAGCTTTGTCACCAAACTTATCCAAACACTAGTCCTGGTTATTCCACGAACTCCAACCAATCAGTGAGCAGGCCTGACGAACTTTATTTGAAGTTTACAACTCCGAGAACAGTCGATCATAAGCTCTGACAACCGTTAGCGTCCGTGTAAAAAGCTTTCATAAGATTCTTGTACATCTTTGACGCATTTTTTTGCAACAAACCTCTCAGTTTACGAACTCAAGTACCGTCATATCAAGAAATGCCATCATTGTCGGAAGACAGTAGGTATACTTGTGTTTTGGAAACTAACATAGGGTAAACGTTTGATCGATACATCTACATCCAAGTCTGAAACCATCCTTGATGTGCAGCTTGCGAACCTTATTTGGGCGTTGTATAATCACTAAGGCTAATATCTTAGACACTTGGTTGCTACAACAGGATTTTAGTCTTTTTTAATGAACTGGGGTGATCAGGGATCTTAACCAGTCTGATAGGATTACGTTCAGCTCTCAAACTATAGCTAGTATTTCTGTCGGTCTAATTACGAAAACAGGACCACCGTTTTTAAAAGCCTCATGAGTTAATTCATCAAGTCTTCTTTCCATTGATTGAGATTAGCCGTAGCTTTTTAAGCTTTGTCAATATTTGAGGGGCTTCTTTCGGTGTTTCAATAAAGTTTCTTGGCGATAGGCAACTGGAGGGTAACTGAAGACTAATGAAACTGTTTGGAGTGATCTGCCCATTGTTACAATCGTCTACGTTGAGTAGATTATGAACCTGTTTTTCAACAGGCCTCACTGATGGTTGCCTTTTTAATGCTTGTTTTTCCTCCTAGCCTTTTTAACTAGGATGAAGTTCTAATCAATTGAAAAAAGCATTTGCGTTTCCAGTTTAAGTTTCGAGTTACCTGCTTGTTAGTTTGAGTTCCTTAAGGAATTGCGGTTTGTGGCTAGTCATTCAACAAAGCAATCTAGATTTGTAGCTTCAGATCACTAATAGTAGAGTAGATTCATTTACTTTAACCACTCCTTTTCAATATTGTGTTCCTTTCCTTTCCTTTTGATATGGTATAATAACTTGAAGGTTGTTCTGTGTGACCTCGTTTTCCAACTCGTACCACCAACCGTTTGGAATAAATAAATAAATTCTCACTGCCTAACGTTTTTGAAGCGATATAAGCCATTGTAGTATGCAAGTCTTCTTGTGCCTCCCTCAATATAAGTCTTAACGTATGCCTACCACTCCTACGTAGTACTATACACTAGGTAGTTCTGTTTCTGACCTAGTTGGCAATTAAAAAAGCTAGTTATGAAATATTCCAGATTATATTGATTATACTGATTGTAAGCTATAAAGGATTAGTAAAGACAATCGTGGAGGGTGTTGGCACATAAATGTACCAGTCCAAGCTTCCACATCTCGCATCAATAGGGTGAGTGGAGATCGACAAGCAGAATGGCACAGCAGCAAAAATAAAAACGCAGTAATAACAAACCAAAAGAAGCATATTATTTCGAAGACTACAGACCTTAAGTAGGGTTAGGAATATAATACAACTCTATAGTTTTTTAGAATCAATAACTAAAAAGTACTTGTGCAGTTTAGAATTTGTTGGTTTTGAAATGTAATTTATTACATGTTGGTTCTCAATGGTTTTCAGCTATTTTCTGTGTTAATATCTGTAGGGGAAAACAGGTTAATCTTTTGTCATTACAGAGCTCAAGACTCAACTATTTGATATCCACTATACATTAATTTTTCGTACAACGTTTGTTCTAAAGTTTCTTTCTTTCTGTAAAGCGCAATGCCATGAAAATAGAATTTTCGATAGTGATATGTTTCAACCCTCTCAAGTATTAGGAATAAATATCTCATCACATATACTAAATTCCCAACTTCACATATTTTTCAAGTTAAGTAGTATGATTCCTTCAGGAAACGTTTATTTGAATTCTTCCTGATCATCCAGACATACTTTTGTTGATCTTCGCCTTTTTTCTTTGACAAGTTGTGCTCAAAATTTCTAAGCAAACCAACTACAAAAAGGTTTACGGGATAAAATGAATTCATTCTATTTTGAGACCTCACTAATCATAAACAACCCAAATTTACAAGTAGAAATATGATTGGAAATAAAGGTTTAGTATAATTTTGTTGTTAAGATTAGTATAGGTGTTTGAAATGGCTCCGAAAATCACGATAAGTGCAAGAAGATCCAAGGTCCAAGGTTAACTCTTGTCGGTAATCATATATTGGGAAAAACGCGAAAACGATACCCTTCAAACAAGTGTCTATTCTTTTGTGTCTCAAATATTAGATCTTCACGAAATGAAAATGGAAGATGAAGCAAACGAATATTATTAGACAGTAAGAAAGTAAATATCGAATGAGGAAATCTATAAGATTAATAAAAATACAGAATCAACATTCAAGGCAATCGTCTCGTGCTACCTCGTTAAATCATACCTCTGTACAGAAAAGTCACAAAACAGAAGCATTCGAAAGTGTTTCTATTTCTAACCCAGCATGATTTGCACTTAAAAACAGGGTTCTGTATGTTGTTTGTTCTGTTCTTCATTGTTCTCTGATAGTCAGATTACTGTATTATTATTACAGTTAACTATCAATGTGTGTAGTTGCTTTAGTTAGATAGCTAGGTTTTCCTAAATTAGTCTAAATTCCAATTATTTTCGTTGTTTTCATATCCAACTTTATGTATTTTGTTACTTTTCCCCTTTTTAGGTGTCATATTCATGATACTTATCCGAACTTTAAGGAAGGATATTGCCAAATATAACCGCAGTGATGATGTAGTAAGTAGATCCTCAAATTTTCTTAAGACGCATCCTATTAAAACTGTTTGGACTAATACTCATCACTTTTGCCTACCTTATAGGAGGATATTTTAGAGGAATCAGGATGGAAATTGGTACATGGAGACGTTTTTCGACCGCCACGACATACGCGATTATTCACAGCATTATTTGGATCTGGTGTCCAGTTGTTCTTTATGGTTTTCATTGTAATATGTAAGTAAATTTCTAGTCCAATTTTTGTTTCCAATTGCATATTATTTATTGATAGTAACTATTTACAATATACATAGTTGCCAAATCCAACATTCTGACCATTATATGTGTTTAAGTACAACATTTTATTAGTCGGTGCGGAGTTTCCCGTCGGTCCCAAGGAGTTATATGGTCACACAGCATAATAATACACTTATTTGATATATTTAATAGTTTAACAGTAAAGTGTGTTCAACCAGAAAAGATGGAACAGTTAGTTAATTTCTCATTATAGGGTCAGAAGACGATGATCGCAAAATATCTCATATTGATTGAGGTTAGACATGTGAACTATTGAATGTCGTCTTAGTCGTTTAATGGTTAGGGGCTCGTTGTGAGATCCGAAGGTCCTGGGTTAAATCCCCTGTGAGATGGCTTGGATGTACACTACTGAGGAGTCCCATATCATGACAAAACAGCTGTTCAATGCTTCTTGGTTTTGAATGGTTTTCTAATTAAAATAAGCTTGAGATGTAAACTGTGATTCCCGTGAATAACAATATTAGGCTGTGCAACATGAGGATAATTAAGAAAATGTGCTTTTCAGTTCTAAGAACCAGATATATGGTGAGTACATCTGTGCAGTTTATGACACGGCGCCATGATATGAAGTGAAGCTGAACGAGACTGTGATCTTTCGGTCCTTCACAACCCCGTGGTTGGAATCCTAGAGGTAGTACAACACATTGGCTTGAGAAGTTACCAAACATGGCTCGGAACAGAAGCTAATGGCGGTCCTGCTGTAATTTACTTTTACTTTATGAAACTGAGAGGAACTTCTTTAACTGGGAAAATTCTTTTTGTTTGTGTTTTCTCACTTGAACTGCTTCTGCCATTGCGGACTACTCTCATTGATTTTTGTTTTCTTTTATTATGCTTACCTTTTTTTCTTTACTCTTCACATTCTCATTTTGCATACTGTATGGTGCATATATATATATATATATATATATATATATATATATATATATATATATATATATATATATATATATATATAGTGCTACTTTATATCAATATTTGTGTTGAAATAAATAAATAAGGTACCCTTGTATGACAGTTATTAATTTTCAGTCATTGTTTACTAATATTTTATGGTTCTGTTGAGGCAAGCCCGTAGTTGTTAAAAGTAGTTTGAATTCCAGTGATCAGTATTAATAAACATTTATTTCAACCAGTTGACCTATTCGCCTTAAGTTATTCTTAGCACTTGTACTTCAATTATCACACCCACTATATTTTTCTTATTAGATTTACATTCATGATTTTATTAGCTTATTTATATTTTCTACTTAAAAGTACATTCAAGTATTAGTAATTTGTTAATTACATTGAATCCAACCGATTCTGGATTTTTAATGTTGGTTAAAATGTCAATTATTCATTCTGTATTCCGAGAAATTTTATACTAATGTCCTACTCTGATAGTGAATAACTTATTTGACAGGAATTGGAAAAAATAGATTCCTTAAACGCCTATTTATGGCATGTATCAGAATGACATTTTCTAGCACTAATTAATCATCGTTTATGATTATTGCTTTTTGTTGCACGATCTATATTTTCTGTGTTTAGATTTTGCCATTATTAAAACAATTTGGTTTATCTGTTCTTTATTTTGTTAACTTTCTGTATTAATCTGAAGTGTAACATATGGATTGATCATTCTTTATATCATTCTTGTTATAACTTTTGAATCGTTTTCTATTTTCCATGTTAATTTCATCTTCTTGTGCTGATTTGGTATGAGAGCTATGGCTAGTGCACAGTTGTTTCAGGTTCTATGGTTATTAAAACTGACCGAATAGTAAACACTGAAACGTTTCTTTTCTGCATTACTATTTTGACAGTCTTAATACTTTAGATACATTTTCAGCGGATTCGTATGATTGTTTGGTTATTTCTAGTAGGATGATTTATGAATAATTTATCCTAGTTGGTCTATACTTAAAGACCATAAAAAGTAAACTGTGATTAATGCAACACTAAGAAATTGTTTGTTTTCTGTTTATTTGATTCAAATGGAAGTAGTTATATTTTGTAGGATTACCAGACATCCATCTTTAAAACAATTAGTTCATGAACTTCGTCCATTTAAATTGTAAAAATTCACTTTTCAAGTAGCACATTTCATATAACGTTTTCATCATAACGAAAAGACAGGCGTTGTGGCGACTGACATTTACATAATATATGATGACTTTTTTATCATGTATAAAATTCATTTAATCTATTTATACAAATCAGTGCGTTTGTGGATGACTTAGAGCATACGAAATCAAATGAATTTACTTCATTCTACAATATTCCTTGTACTTGATTTTGTGAAGTTCTTCTGTTAAATTATTATCTATACTCTTGTTTATTCATCAAGATATAAAGAGAGTTGTTATAAAAGTAAATACATTTTATCTGTCCAAGTGATAAAGGTTCGGATAATGTTAGTTATAATGTTTAAAATTGCTGTTCAGCTATTACACTATAACAAAGCGAAGTTTGTAATAAACTTGTATTCTTATATATTTCGAGAGTATTAATGTTAAGATCAGTGAAGATAATCTTTAAGTCGAAACACTTTATGAGTTGTAAGTATTTGAAATTGATAATTAGTAAACTTCATTGAAATAGAAAATTACTGAATAATTTGTGATGAACCCAGACCAATAGTCTTTATTAAATTCATTGAGAAAATTTTAAAACTGTAAGTATCTCAGGTCAGCTAATAAGACCACGTGAACTGATGAGCTGTTTTGCTAGATCTCTTGTTGGACGTGCATATTCGAATTGAAATTTTCTGTCCAGTTTTTCTTCACTTGTTAGAGAATTGTTCAGTAGAAAGTTGAGTCGTTTGTTAACAAAAGTGAGCATGATTGAGTGGGTTTTTTGAACCTTTATATTTCATAGTTGCGACAAAAGAAACACGGAAATTTTTAAGCACATTTTACTCATTAACTTCGATAAGTTATAGTGATCTTTACACTAGGGAAATCGTTCCTTCCTTGATGCCTGATTAATTGTACGGATTCAAGTTTCATAAATCTGTTGATTGAGTTTTTATAGAAAAGGAACAAACTTTTATTTAGTAGTTGTTTATTATTATTATTATTATTATTATTATTATTATTATTATTATTATTAGCTTTATTCAATGATAGTTTCATATTTTTATTCAAATCAGAGTATTGCTTTTATCATTTATATAATTATTACTTTAATCTAAAGAAATCACCTCATTTTATACATTGTATAACTTGAGTCACGTAATTATTATTTATAAATATTCGAAGGGGTTTTGTGGAGATTGTAGTAATTTCATTAGTTGAGATCATGAGTCAATTGAAGCTAGATCACCATGGAAAACCTGGAAGCACTGGAAAGACGTTTCTTTCTATTATGGAACTCCTCAGCAGTGTGCGTCCACGACCCCGCCCCGCGGGATTCGGACCCAGGACCTATCAGTCTCGCAATAGTCCCACAATAGGACGAAACGGCTGTCCAGTGCTTCCAGGTTTTCCGTGGTGGTCTAGCTTCAATTGACTTACGATATCAACTATTGAAATTATAAATATTTTATATCAGTTACTTTGACTGTATATATTTCTTACCTATTTAATCATCATAATTTTACTAGGAATTCGACTACACTATAATTAGGTTCAGTCTCATTTTTCAATTAGTGTATAACTTGATATTAGTTTTGAAGTTTGTAAAAGCAAACTTTTCCACACGCGACCCCAATTATATGAAACATAGCTGATAATCTGTTCAAAAACACTGATAATTATTTGTATAGATCTGGTGATTCCTCGTGGTATATTATGTGTTTAATATTTTTGTCTAACAAAGTAAATTATTATCCATCTAACTCATTCTTAAATTTTATAATGTTATTGTTTCAAAACACAACTCTCAATCTAATTTCTGCGTAACAATTTTCTTGCATCTAATCAATACTTTCAAAGTAAAACCCACTGAATTTTTTTACCGCTTTTTTTGTCCTATTTCGTAATGAAAACGATTGGTTCTAGTTTTTGCTATGCTCGGGACATTGTCACCAGCTTCTCGCGGTGCACTTATGAACGCAGCCATATTCACATACGTGTTTATGGGACTTTTTGCTGGATATTTTGCTGGAAGATTGTATAAGACCTTACGTGGGCCATTTTGGAAGTCGACCGCAGTAGCCGTAAGTTTAATTTATCCTTGTGACATTCCAAAACTCTAAATCCATATATATATATATATATATATATATATATATATATATATATATATATATATATTCCTTACGGAATTAGTACTTTTAAAAAAACAAAAATTTTCATATATATACGATTGTACAGCTTGATAATATATATATATATATATATATAATATTGAGCTTTTTTTTAAATCATAATTTATTATTTACGAGTATCAAGTAGTAAGACGTAGTTCAGTGGTCTAATTCACTTGATTATTGTATCAGTAGTTTAAAATTCTCTGCAATTCAGTTTCGTCAGTCTTACAGTAAATGTTCTCAAATCCTCTCATACGCAAATCAGTATTTGAATACTAACTTTTGTTAATCAGTTAATTTATGATGACATGTAATGAATATTCTGCTTTATTTTTAATAAATTCCTAACATTATTTGGTTACTTACTTTCAGATTAGTCCCCATCTATTCATTACTTGTTATGTATTCAGTTAAGCATAATTAATATTTGATTCCTATTTAAAAGTTGATGTTAGGTCGTCTAAGGTGTTCGCCAGGAAGTTCTAAATCTAAGTTCCGTCCTATTTGATGATAATCAGCAAGGTCTTTCGACAGTCTTGAGGAATTTGATGCTTTCTGTCAGAGTAGAACCCGTACCATTCCGTCATAGTCAGAAATGTTACTGCTGAGCTATTTAGGACAACAGTGACCATAATTATTTAACAAAGAACAGTGCTCAACTGATATTTTGTATAATTAGTTTTATATATCGAATCTATTTTCGGTCATAATGGAGCAGGTTACTACTGAATTTGTCTACATTTTTGTGCTTTTCAGCAATAGAGATCCATAACCCTGTCAACAATGTTAGTTTATTTTGCAATCAGTTGACATCAGAGTTATAAATTAATGGTTTGCGTACTCAGCTATTGTGTTATAGTTTCAAACTATCCTCTGCCTGTTTTACTTCGGGTACCGGGGTGCACGAAGCTACTTAGTTATTGGATTGCATTTTTTCTGTCGAAATACTGCACCAAGCAAAAGATAACTTAGTTCTTAATTGGTACTATAAAAGGGTTTTGACATATACCATCTATCGACTCATTACCTCAAATCTTTTTAATCGTTTGTATTGTTTCATTCAATTCACAACTTAAATAAGACAAAGTTTGTTTTAATTATTTCTAATTATTAAATGTCTGTGCATTGTTTTTATAAACTTCTCTTTAGACCGGATTGCTTTTTCCAGGAATCGTGCTTGTATTTGGACTGGTAATAAATACTTTTATCTGGTACAAAGGATCTTCTGCAGCTATTCCATTCACTACACTGCTTGCGCTGTTGTCATTATGGCTCGGGATTTCATTACCGTTAATTTATATCGGATTTTTCTTTGGTTATAGAAAACGTGGATTTGAACAACCTATTCGCACTAATCAAATTCCTCGAGCAGTTCCTGACCAAAGATTTTGTCATAATTTGTTACTATCGTAAGTCCTCCCATGAGTTTAGATGCAGTATGCTAAAATAATGTCACGAGACTTTGACATTTAATTAAATTCCAGTAATTTAGACACTTCTCAGTTTTAAACCGAACGCATAGTACACGTTCATTGTTTACCTTCATTCAAATCCTTTTCTACTATTAGTTCAACTCATTCGTGATTCATTTATCTTACTGTGCCGATGTAGTGTGGAAATTTAGACCAATGCACTTTCGTGACAATTTTTACTTTAGTCATAACTTATTGATTGACTTATGCTCTATCTTATTCATACCTTTCAATGTCAAAGCCTGGTTTACCTCTTTCATTTCCTCGATTTTATGGATAACATTTTCGTTTTTTCTTATCTGTTGTTGCTCTTCTCCCACTATGCTGATGTAAATTTGTGTAAGGTCTTATTTTCTTAAACATATTAAGTTATTTCACAAATTCGGACACTTAAAGCCTGAAGTTAAAGCTTATGCTACCAGCTGTACCTAGGTGTAGCGGCAGTAAGGTGTTTGCCTCAAAAACCAACATCTGCAGCTGTAGTACCTTCCCAAAATGTGGTTACGAAGGTTTAGAAAAGAAGGGAACCAATAAATCACACCTCCCTTTTCCCCACGGATTTTTGTATCTATTGTTAAGGCTTTACAAGCTCATCAGGAACTACTTACAAAAAGGTTGTAACAAAACCAGATAAATATAGCCTTATTAATCTCGCTACTGTATTCCAGTACGCGTTTTCCACGTATCCGATTGCATATCTGTTTACTGTGCCAAATGAAAAGTTTCATAGACTGCGTCACAAATTCATTCAGTGATTTGGCTGCTAGACAACTTCCATAATTCATTCATTTACGTACCTTTATTCGCCTTGGTTTGTCTACTGATATCCATGCCTGAAATATATATATCTTCAGAAAATTTCGTATTCCACTTTTGATATTGTGTTCAACAAAGCGGTAAGTTTAAGAATATGAATACGAATCAAGATCAAGTCTTTATACTTCATTCGAGTCAGGTAGCTACCATAAGACTATATGAAACCGGTCTCAAGAAGCTGTCGGTTAGGCTCTACTGTCACGATTCCAGGTCTCTAAGAGCACTACTAATCTGTTTTCATTAATGAATTGGTTTTTTCCCCTGTTATATACAACCGGGAAGTAACAACCTCTCAGTCACCTTTAGCAGCACCCAAGTCTAAGTCTCTGTTTAACTGGTTTGACTAAGCAGATAATGGACCTTCATTTAGAAACTGTTTTGCTTGAATTCTCTAACATAATCGTTTATTAAGTCAAATAAATGTGTTTGTTTAGTATAAATATGGTTTAGACCAGCCTCGAAACGTTATAGATATATGTATATACCATTGACTTACGAAATTCACTTTACTATATAGTTTCTTCATGATTTTTATGACTTTTCTAAAGAGTGGTAGTAAATATATAAGTTATGAATGACTTCATGTGATGATAAAAATACTATAAACACATGGTTTATGCAAATTTTTTCAATTCGCTTAATGAATAAATCGATGTAAATGTTGATTCATTATTCTTGTAAACTGTCTAACATAAGAACTACGTGTTTTTATTTCGATACTTTCATAAAATTTAAATATCCATGAAGTCACTGACAATTGGACTGAGTCATGTTGGTAGGTGTAAACTACCTTGTTGGGATCCACTAGACGATAGCAACCGATGGTTAGAGACCTTGAATGACATGGCTCAACGTCATTTGCAATGGCGCAGGTGCACCTACTCTTTGTGTTATCCCAAATTCTAACCTTCTGAATTCTTCATATCCCTTTCTTTTTTCTCATTCCAAATTTATTTCACTGGATTATACTCCTTGAGCAACATCTTCGAACTCTAATCTTCCCGACTACTGCTTATACTTTTACTACCTCTACCACTATGGGATTTGAATGGACAATTGTATTTGTGTGCTAATGTTGTATGGCAACTCGAACTGATGTACGTACGTACGAAGTTCTATGTTGTTACTGACTGACTGACTTGTTGTGCTGATGCGGTATGGCAACCTGGACCGATGCACATATGTGCCTGGTCCTACGTTGTAGCTGACTGACTGACTTTTGCTTCGCTTGTAAAATTTACTATGTAAGGTGTATTAACTATTTTTGCTATGGAAACACTACCCTATGGCTAGTGAGAGTAGAATCTCAATTGATTTTAAAGGTTGAATAAATGGATAGTTTGATGGCTCTAATAATAAGGATCTTCAAATCACCACTCATGTGCCACTGAACTGTTTCACAATTTATGCTGTTATTAGGCATTAAGTTTTAAGTAGAAATAAATAAATAAATTTATTATTCATCATAGGCATGGGTATTGGTTGTATGTTCTCCCAAATTCTAATCTTCTGAATTCTTCATGTCCCTTTCTTTTTTCTCTTTCCAAATTTATTTCACTGGATTATACTCCTTGAATAACATCTTCAAACCCTAATTTTTCTGATTACAGCTTATAATTTTACTACATCTAGCACTACGGGATTTGAATCGACCACTGCATCTCTGTGGTAATGTGGTGTGGCAACTCGAACTGATGTACGTACGTACGAAGTTCTACGTTGTTACTGACTGACTGTATTGGTTGTATGTGTTACAGTATACTCAGTCGATAGTTTCTTCATCATTACTGTTGCCATTTTTTCCTAAATAATCTCCTTAAGCAAAGTTGTTAGCCCTTCTAGGAGATCATAAAAGAATTATTTCTTAATCAACATAGTTCTGGATCATTTAAAAAGACGTAAATATTATTGATGACCTACAAATATTGTCTTCCATTTACATATTTTTATTTATTTATAGTACACTTTACTCTGGAGCTCTACCATTTGGTGCAGTCTTTATCGAAGTTTTCTTTATATACAATGTAAGTTTATCGTATTCGTCTTTTATATTTAAAAAAATGTTAATATGCTCTATGTACTGATTTAAAACTTTGGTTGAACTGACTTTGATGGAGTTTTGATTTTTTTTAATTTATTAGCTAGTTTTCTATTTTTAACTTGACAAATGTTACTGATACATATAAAACTTTATACCTGTTGTACAAGTTAGTAATTGTCTGAATTCAATAGCTCAATTGATAATGTGTTGGGATTCGAAGCGAAAGTTACCGAATTCGAGTGCTATTGGGTGCGTTGGCACTTGGATCGAGGTATGTATATCTGACCGACATGTCCTGAATTCCATTGCCGACCACAATACAACTTCACTAAAATTCGTTGCTGGTTGGTTATAGTAGCTGGTGTTAACTTTTTGGTTAGTGTTAGATTTTATTGTTGGAAGTAATAAATTGTCATATTTGAATCACAGAGACAGGATTTCTAACCAACGTAATACTTGATATTATAGGGCTAGTAGATTTTCTTATATATGATAATAAATATGCGTCGTAATTATTTACACGGGTTATATCCGACTTCTTTCTATCTATCACACTGAATAGTTTACTCGTCCGTAAATCAAACCACCGTATAGGTACAAACTTAAACTTGAAGCGATTAACTTGTCGTCCCTCAAGTGAGCCCAAGAGAAAAAGATGAAGACAAGAAAATCAAAATTATGTCATCAGTTTTAGTAAACAACTGATGATAAATAAAACATGTAACAACGAGTCTTACAGGTGCATTGACTGATAAACTGTTAAAAAAATTTCGGAGATAAAACATTTGCTTGAATAATGTTATCATACCTTTTTCAAGTTAATAATCTTGTGGATTATACCTAGTATGTTTCTAATATCCGTATAAGTCTCCAAACCAATAGTCACAGGTGCAGAAAGCACCATGTGTTGCTCTTTTCATCTTGAAGATTTTCCATAGTTGAATAAAAATAAAGAGAACTCAACGAAGAAAAATTTTTTTTGGACGAATTCATTTACTTAAGCTGTACATTCGTATTTACGGTTATATGGAAAATATATGTCTATAGAAGGACAGTTCTCTAATTCTACTTCAAGCATTCATTAATATAGAGTAATGTCAAAATGGAACTTTTTTGTTAATTACCAAGTTCACATAAGTCGACTTTTTGGATAGTTCAAACTGAAAGTAAAATGAATTTCATAATTACAACCTGTTGGTTGAACACTGAGTAGTTCAAGCAGTAAGTTCGCTCTTCTACTGCTTAGATTGATATTGTTATAACAGTTGGTTTTCCACTTTTACACGTATGGGCCGTAAATTTACATTAGGTGAATATCTACACTAGATTCCCTCTCAGTGTCTATCCTACAGGACTTCAGTACAATTCAAATCAAGAACACGTGGTTAGCTTGACTAGAACGTAAATATATTTCCACACCAAACACCCGACACAACCCAACAACAATGGACAGTCAATAATAAGTGGGCAATAATAATAAGGATAAGGAAATATATAACTCATCTGACACCTATCAGACTATCTACATGTCTGACTAAGCAGACAACCAATCATTATCATTCTCGCCCACACATCAGATATTATAATCATTTTATTTACTGTCTACTAGTCATTATTATTGTCATATCTTACGTCTGTATAATTCTGCACTATTTTGTTTCAAATTAAACAGGCTATCTGGGAGAGTCAGTTCTACTATTTGTTCGGATTTTTATTCGTTGTATTCATCATATTAATTATTTGTTGTGCACAAGTAGCAGTTGTTGCTACGTATTTTCAGTTATGCAGTGAAGTAAGAAATTTATCATGAATTTTAATATTATACAAGATTATTCGTACCTCTCTAAAGCTGGTTTATTTCGAGAATTTTCCTTTTCTTTGTGACGGAAATAAAAACAATTTCTTGTATTGTATTGAGGCCTTTATGAGATCAGATTGTCGTTTTAGGAGCAGATATATGATTTAATTTCATTATTAGTTCATTTGCCTAGATTGCATGTTTAGGATTAATGACTTGTTTTTAACTAATAACTCAATGACAGTGAGGTAACGACTGAAAGCCTATCAATTCAGGATGCAGTTCCCTACTCGCTTTCTGTTTAGCTAGAAAATAATAGCAACACAGCAAGTAGTTAGACTTCTGTTATCTGGATCAATTCATAACTCAGACTAGTATGATTAGTTATTTTCAACATAAATAAGAAATTACAATATGAGCATAACTATTTGGTAAGTGAAAGAGATCTGAGTAATACGCTCACAACTAATTATTAGTAACTTAAAGAAGATAAGACGGAGAAGTAGTTTATGCTCCAAATGAAAGCTTATAACTTGGATAATATAAGAGTACAATAATCCTTTGTAAGATTGTTCCAAAAGGTACATTTTCACAATATGATAGTACATTATAGCACGTGTAAAGATATACAATTATTACTGTATAGTATCAAATAACAATCAACTATATCTTTCAAAACAATATCATTCTCCTTTTGATGTTATTACGTCCTCTGATTTTGATTGTTTAGTTGTGATTTATGCAACAGTATAGTAAACACTAATTATGTTGTTTAGAATAAAATGAGTGTTTTGTAATTATAGTACTTAGTTTCACGAATACGTAATAACACCAAAAGCATCCATCTGAGTTGAGAATCTCCCTACATCATTTCAAATGTCCATCTCCCAATTAAAGACTTATTAATGTAATTTTCATTTTTTTTGTCATAGTTTAAAGGTGTAAAGAGTAAAATATGAAATTTTGGTAGTTGTATTCTTTGTGAAGGTAGTTTGTATATCATTTAATGCTTATTTTTTCAACTAGGTTCAGTGTTTTTGGCATTTGTATATTTTAATAATTGTGAATTCTCTTTGTATTTATCATTATTACACTTTTTACTTTGCAAAAGCAAAGTTAATTAACTTGTAAGTAGACCACTCAAGTCTGTTAGGTATCTTTTACTTGAATTATTGAGATTCAGGCATTACGGTATGTTTTAGTTTGGTATTTTACCTCCATAATTATTGAAGTTATAAGTTGTTTTAACAACAACTCATTTAAATTCCTGCTATTATAATTAGCGCTTTAGAAGAATGGCATATCGATCGTGTCTGAAAGCATTGTACCAGAGTCCGTGGATGTATTTTATATGGCGTAGAAAACCACTTATTACTCTGTGGCTTGTTGAAAGATAACTTTGGGTGTTTTTATGCTCAATATAAAAATATATTTGCATTTAACGTTTCTTGAGTATCAGTGTTATATTTGTCTCAAATCATTAGTACTATTCGATTTCAGTCGATTAAGTCCCCATCTAACCACTAGTCCAAGTGACTCAATCTCTCCTGTTTTATGTTTTGATGCAAGGAGACTAGTGAGTATCCTGTTGACTACTTTCAATCACCATGCATTTATTTAGTAAACTGTTTTGATATCTGTTAAAGGAAAAACAAGTCATGAATATGAACTTACTAAACAGTTGTCAATAATTAAGCGAAACAACAGTAAGCGGACTTCTAGATGGTGTCAATGTAAACATGTAGGTCTCAGTGTCTTGAATCTACTATATGTTGCACAAAGGATGATTTAATCAATTTGCTTATTTCTTTTAAGTCATACCAGGAGATATTTTGAAATGCAATTAAAATGGTATCTCCACAGATTATCTAGCTACCTGAATTTAAAGAAACATATATATATCGTAGCAACGGGTCCATCATACGGAGTTATATTGTTTCGAGTTTCTTGATCACCGTGATCTCGGGAATTATATTTCTTAATCAATGTTTTATAACTTCGAAACATTGTAGATAACTGTTTAAATTTTCTTCACATAGGATTATCACTGGTGGTGGCGCACTTTCATTACATCTGGTGGAGCGGCAGTTTATCTGTTCGGATATTCGTTCTTCTACTATTTGACAAAGGTATGTATTTGCAGATCTTTTGTATTATAATCTTATAAGCAATGACCTTCATAATCTGATGATAATTTCTTTGTAACTTTTCTTCGTTCACAGCTTAGTATAACTGAATTCGTTCCTACAATTATATACTTTGGTTATAGTATATTAATGGTGATCGCATTCTGGATCCTAACGGGAACAATTGGTTTCACTTCTACATTCATATTTCTGCGACATATCTATTCTGTCATCAAAATAGATTAACTTAATATATATATATATATATATATATATATATATATATATATATATATATATATATATATATATATATATATATATATATATATATATAAACTAAGATTCATGACGCTATTGTGTGTATTGTTTAACTAATGCATCATCATCATCGTTTCTACAATCTTTTTGTACTGTTCCTTCTCTTATTTACAACACCATTTGTCCGTTTGTTATTTCTTTATTTCTTGGCGTTCCTTCAACTGCCTGAAATCGAATAAACTATATTTGGTTTGTGTGAAATATTTCTAGTGATTTTTTTATCTACATGCGTACTTCAATTCAGTAACATTATGGGTTGTACACTGATGGAGTACTTACTCTTACTTGACTTTCATCACCAATCCTAGTGTGTATTTCAATAGTCATATTACTGTAACACGAATTTCATCAAAAGTGTAGGTTAATTGGTGTTTTTACACAATGGTATTGTCAAAAGTAGAATTTAATAGTTTCTAAACAAACGTGTATATCCTTATCGACTAGATATTATTATTCCTGGGTGAGTAATTTCCAGTCACTACGTGCTGCCGACTAAAAGGTTTGTTTATCATTTAATTTCACTTCATAATGTTTCTGGCAATGTGATCCGTAACAAATGTCTATTTGGTGTAGTCTGACCTAAATATCACAGCATTACTTCATTTGATTTGTTTTTTGGTTAAAGCTCAGTATGAGCAAATAGTGTATATATTTGGAAAAAATGAGCGGATCGTATTAAATTGTCGACTGCTCTTTAATAAAAGGTAAATTATACTGTTGCAACTCATCCTGTTTTCCTAGACAGTTATGAACCATAGCCTTTTAAAATGGGAGACTTACGTTATCTTCAAGAGCATAGGTATTTCTTATTCCCAAACTAGCTACGGAATTATACAAAAGGACGGAAAAATATTAACTTTATCCTGCCAACATCCAGTTCAGCCCCTACCAAATGAGGGACCTAATTCTGTCAGTTAACTAACCGATCACTCAAACTCTAACAGGTAATGTGTACATACATTGTACAAACAAGTTGTAAAGAGAAAAAGATGTCCCGAATAATCTTGAAGATGTATTCTACAGTAAAACCTTAAAATGATTCAATCGATTTGAACAGAAATAACGCAAATTCAACAAGCAATATGACAGCAACTGGGTTTCCAGTTCAATTAAAGCAAAATTAACAGCGTAAAGCCATGTTAATTGGGTGACGCCTTCAGTAAATCAAAACTAGGGATGAGATGGATAATAACAGTTTGTAGCCAAAAGTATGCAATACTAAACATAGGGTGTCGAGATTTGCAGTGAAGATGGCGCAGGTATTCAGTGTTTGACAACGCTTTTACCAGCAACACTTAATATAATTCGTACCCACCCAGAGAATTCAAAAGACAGAGTCGCGGAGATCGGAAGAGTGTATTTGGCAATTACCAATATATCGGAATTCTATGATCTAATCTGGCTAGCGATTGCGGTAGATGTTGAGCACAGCGTTACCACACGTGGTCTGGTGCGGATGCCTGACTGAGCACCTTCAGCTAGATGAGTCCACTAAAACATATGGTCAGCATCCAATGTCGAAAACTTACAGAGATACTTATTTTGGTTATTTATTTACTGCTACAACAGCAAAATATTTAAGAGTAAGACTATTACATATGGTGTGTACATGGGGAATATTAACAACCACGTGTGTAAATATGAACCGGCGTGGACACATCACGAGATCTAGGAAAGAAACATGGGAGTCGTATAGAGTGCTTCTCAAACAATTCATGGTTTTGTTTTAACTTGCCAACCTATGTCCACCAGTGAAAAAGCATTAAATTTGCACTATCATCGGGATGTTAGTCGCACTTAAACTGTGTTATTAAAGATAATTTGATTAGTTCGAATGATAATAGGAACAGTAATAGGAAGAAACAAGGTGATGAATTGCATGTCACCAGTGATTTTCAGGTGTTCACTTTAATTTGCTTCATAAATAACTGCAGGGTATGTTGTTATTCTTCGGTGAAATCATGTTGTAGTGGGAGTCCTTTTAGAACCTGAACATAAATCTCGTGTGAATTATTGCTGTGGTAGTTAACTCCAACCACACGATACTGAACATAAACCGAGAAATTTCACATATAACACGGGGAGAAATTTAGTGACGGTGAATGTTAAAACAATCAATCGAAACGGCATGTCTTGACTATGCAAACGTGGTCACTCTTACTTCATTTATCAAATATGTTATCCTACAACCCAAACGTGTTATTTAGAAGCGCTAGATATTAAATTGGTGATCGTCATGATAGGACGAGTCAGTGTAGACCATGGTGTGACTTCCACGTAAGATCTTATAGGATAAAGCATTCATATAATGGAAATGCTACAAGTTCGAAATTAGTTCTGTTATTATAGTATCAAAGATTAGTGGACTAATATCGGACTAGGCCACGACTCTACTGTATTATTAGAGACAAGTACATATTTTTCTCGATTCCGTCCTCATCGTTATTACTTCATTCTACGCGCATAATCTCCTTAATGAAGCAGCTGAATAACTGAGATGACTTGTTCTTTCTGGTTTGCGCTTTTTGCCCTGTTAGTTTTCTACAGGATGGGGTTGTTAACCCCTTGCCCAACCCTCCTCCATTACCCGGGCTTGGGCCGGCACTGGCCCTCGAGGGTTCCAGGCGGACTTAAGTAGCAGAAAAATTCCGTGCATATTGAGCTCTTACTTTAGCACCAGAATTAAAAGTATCAAAGCATGTGTTGTAAAAATTAGAGGAATTTGTAGTAGTTCACTCAATGAAATTTGGTTGCTCCACATAATGAATAGATATTTGGGTCTCCCACATCGTTTCGTGCAGACTCGAAAGGGAACGTTTACGGCGTTTGTCTCGACTACAGCCATCAACTGCTTTCTGATATTTGGCCTACGGGGTATCTTATCCGTTAACTTGCACGTAGTCTTCTTATAGTTGTGATTATAGTCAACCGCAACTCGACGTCACCCTACACATCCAAATATTCATTTTGGCTGGCCAGGCCGGAAATCACGCTCACAGATTGAGTAATCTGCTTTAAATTCTAGAACCTTCTGGCGATTCCCTTTCTTATTTTTTTTGTTTTTCACTCATTCTGTTTTTCGGGTCCAAAACATTAAAAATGTCCTAATTGGTCGACCAAACATTATTCGGCTGGTGATTTTCCGTCTTGATTGTTTGGACGCGGCGTAATTCTATGAGAAATTAGAAAGTGTTGCAGAGCCTTGTCTACATTATCTTCTCCTCCCATCTTTAAGAGAGCTCACTGAGGAATATCAACAAATTTTTGTGCTTCCCTATTCGACTGAGGGTGATACGGTCGGGTTATAATATGTTCGATTCCATTTTTTTAATAGAACTCCTCAAACTCTGGCGACGTGAACTGCGTCCCGTTATCTGAAACCAAAATATTAGGTGTCCCAAACCTACCAAATAGTTGTCTGATATGCATCAGTGTTTCAGACGTAGACAGTCTTAGCACAACGTAAATTTCAGGCCATTTTGAATCTACCACCACCAAAAATATTGTCCATTTATTGATCCAGCATAATCGACGTGTAGTCAGACCCAAGGCTTTTTCGTTTATGACCATGGCTAGTATTCTACTTTCGATGGATCTTTTGCACCTTAGGCACATCGACGACATCTCAATATGTGTTCTTCCACTGCCTTGTCCATGAATGGTCAATAGACATAACTACGCATAACTGGTTTCATTCTGTTCATTCCCGGATGACCAATATGAAACCGTCTAAGCACAAAAAACTGAAGAGATTTAGGGATAACAACACGATTGCCATGCATCAAACAGTTATCATAAATCGATATGGACTCACGTCTTTGAAAAAAATGTTGAAACTGTCGATCAACCTTATCATCTTTCCAACCCTTTAAAACAGCTCCGTTTATTCTTTTGAGTAGAAGGTCACAAGCCTTTGCTTCTTCAACCGCTTCCTCCGTTACTGGTAGGATTCTGATAGCACCATAGAACACTTTATATTTCCGGTTCATGTGATACAGAAGCAACCACGCTATCTCCCTCTAACTTGAGGTTACTAGTAATTAACCTTGACAACCCACCTTCATGACCCATACTAGCTGACGGCTCGTACAATAATTCGAATACATATCGTAGCCCACCTGGTCAGGCGATTTGCAGTGTGGATAGGCATTCCTTCTCCAGAGCCAAATATGGCCAGCATTGGTCTATGGCCAGTTTGCCATGTAATTCTTTTTACCGTATAGCATATTGTGAAACTTCCTGACCTCAAACACTAGGGCTAAAACCTCCTTATCGATTTGACTGTGATTCTTTTCAGCCGCAGTAAGGGTATGTGAATCATGAAAAATAGCGTTTTGTGACCCATTAGGAAATTTATGAAGAATCACCGCTCCAATGACATAATCAGATGTGTCGGTTGCTACCACTAACTCAAGTTTTGAGTCACAATGAGTAAGCAAAAATTCAAGAGTCCATATCTGTTTCGCTTTTTCAAAGGACACTTGACATTCCTTATTCCAGTTTTATCTGGTGTTCTTGGTTAACAGTGCATTCAATGGAGCACGCAAGCATATTTGGCGCAAAGTGGCTATAACAGCTAATCATTACCAAACATGACCGAAGCATTTTATCATTAGATAAAGCTGGCGTATTCACATTGGCGTGAACCTTTTCAGGATCAGATCTACGCCCCTGAGTGTCGATAATTGTTCCCAAATATCGAATACTTAACATAAAAAGTGAACACTTTTCTACTTTTATACGAAAACCATACTCTCCAATACGAGCAAAGACTTCTTATAAATGATCATAGCGTTCTTTTTCACTTCTACTGGCAATAATAACATCATTCACATATGTCTTGGCAAACGGGATATCGTTTAACATAGTGTTCATAACTTGTTGAAAAACTACCGGGGCACATTTTATACCAAAAAACTGTCTATTGTGTTGTAACGATCCCCGGTGTGTCTTCACTGTCAGTATCTACAGCATTATGTGAAGCAACCAAATTTCATTGAGTAAACTACTACAAATTCCTCTAATTTTTACAACACATGCTTTGATACTTTTAATTCTGGTGCTAAAGTAAAAGCTCAATATGAACGGAATTTTTCTGCTTGTGTTACACTTAAATTAAATTCTTAGACTCGTTTTATTTCTACTATGTATATATGACTCATACATATTGATATTTGGTTATCGTTTGCACATAATTGAGACTTTCATAGCATCACTACAAACTATGACTGCACAAACACTTATTCTAACATCATATCTTACTGCAATAGTAAATTGGTTTTCTTGATTTTGTTTTATTTTATTGTTGTTACTCATTTGACGATATATAGCTAGTCGTTTATACTTGTTCTGTGTTTGCAATCACGCTTATTAAACTATTTACGTATTTTGCATCTCCTTGATTTCTATTGTCTTTTTTCCTCCCTTTCCTTCTTTAAAGCCAACTCAATATTTTCTCGATTATACAGAACCTGATTTATTATTATTTATTTATTTCCTACAGGATTGTCTTACACTAAGTCACGAAACGTCAAAAAATCTTATTTTGTTGCTCATTGAGATATTACAGATATGTTGTTTATTAATTATTATAATTATTGTCTTGTTTTCTCTTTTTTAAATATGGCAAATACAGTGCTAACATCATTGGAAATTGTGTATCAATAAATTTTTGAAGAAAACGAAAATGGTTTTTTCACAATATTTATGTACCCATAAAATGTTAGTGAATAATAATAATGATAATAATAATAGGTAATATCTAGGAATTAATAAATTGTAAGAGTAAATATTAAGTAATCCCAAAAGCATTCAGCCTCTTTATTTAGTAAGTCGGACCGAAAATTTATTTTGATAACCGTAAAACATGAGAAGAACAAGAGAGATCAGAGAAAATGGTAACACCAAGATAACTGACCTTCAACACTTGTGGTGGACCAAAAACTATTCAACTAAAAAGTGACAGTAAGGTTATCATGTCCAAATATTATTGTTATAATGTACCAATCACAATTTATAAACACAAAGAAACGTTGTGGGACGTCACTTAAATTAGAAGGCTTTGGCGTGTTTGAGCTGCATTTGGTACCATTATCCACAATTATATATAACTAATAGTTCCAATGAATTTGTTGTGATTCCAATAATATAACCAGAGTTAGTATAAAATGTGAATATGGATGTAGTCTATAAATGTGGATAGTAGATATTTTTATAGTCCAATTATCATAACCCCACGCAATTGAAAACAAGAGACTTGTGTGTAAAAGTGTATTCACGAGCGGTTAGCAGTGTCATGCTATTGTGACACGTATATTCAGCAGTTACTGAAAGACGGAGAAGACCTGAAACCACAACACACACAATTTTAACTTCACACCAAGAGAGAACACGGAATGGAAGCTACGAGTCTTTTATTTAAAAATTGAAATTCGCTGCTCATGTACAGAAAGGAAAGCCAGTTCCAAAAAAGTCTTATGAGTCATCATGTAAATTCAGTGCATTCAAAGCTTGCTCTTCTTCTTCCTAAGCATTTATCCTTGGTCGCGCTGCAATAGAAAGAAAAATAGAACCTATTAAAAACACCATACATTATTATTTTAACCACGTTGCACTATGAGCAACTCAACACGTGAGTGATTTCAAGGTCATGCACTTAAACGGAGGTTCTAGGCCGCGTTTAATAAATATAACGTTCCCGTCCTCCTATATGGCCGTCACCACTCTTGAAGCTTTTCGTGGTAACAGACGCCAGTTGCCAACTGGAATCCACATGCACCCTGAGAGGCCATATGATGTCAGGATCAAGCAGAAAAGCAAATTGGAGCTGACTGTTCTACTTGTGGACTGTCACGACCATGAAAAACGTAGAAAATAAAAGGACTACCAACTCGGAAAACCCTGTGTAGGTAGGTTTATTGTCCATTCACATAAGCCTAATACAGATAAGCAGGACAGAGAAACTCACGGATTTTAAACCGGAAAGATAAACTGCTTGTATATGGACGCCGTGATTTTACCAAACAAAATGGATAAGCTGCGTGAACTCAGTAGTGCTGATAATACCATCTGATAGGAATATCTGGAACAGGGACATCTCAAATAACGAACCAGGAGCTAGCATTATCCGAGATGTCTTCGTTTCAAAACGACAGAAAAAGAGGAATGGGGGTGGAGTAACCACGTACCTGCGATCCTGCTTACTAATGGCCCAATCAACAACAACGGTGACGCCGCCGACCTTCTGGCAGAACATTACTCCCGGAAATTTAAATTAACCAGCGGTATCTATACTGAGAGCTTCATATGCAACTCAATAGGACTCTCAAAAGTGAACCTGGGCGCTGACTTGGTGCATCGAAAACTTCAGCGCCAAAACAAGTACATTTCTCCAGGACGACTCTGCTATACTGAGGGAAGCAGCTTCAGCTTTGGCGAAACCGCTCAGCTCAGGCATATTATCAGAAAATTGGATGCTAACCCACATTACACAAATTTTCAAGGAGGGTCGATTCAGTGAACCTCAAGCCTACCGACTGTTAGCACTCCACTCTATACCCTTAAAAATTGTGGAGTCCCTGATATTGGAAATTCTACGCGACTACTTACTATCCACAAACGTCTTTTCATTCCAGCAACTCGGCTTCAGAAACGATTGTTCTTGCACAATCAACCTGCTGACAGCGGTGGACGGATGGATAACTATCCTTAACTCTCAAGGAGAAGGCTGACGTAATACACTATGAATTCTCAAGAGTTTTTGATTGGATCAACCATATATATCTTATCAGCTAGCTCAAACGATCAAGCGTCCAGGCACCACTGATTGATCACTTCATTTTATATCTAAAAAACCGACATTTCAAGGTAGGGTTAATTTCACATACTCTCAGACCATAGAATGACCTGTTGTGATTCACCAGGGTTATTAATATACGTAAACGATCCTCCACAGCAGGTTTCGCCTGATTTATTTCTTTCTGCTGACGGTGTGAAACTCTGGAGAGAAGTCTGCAACAAAGAGAATAAACTGGCACTTCAGAAGGATCTGACAAGACTTCGAATTTCGGCAGACAACATCGGACTTACCATTAGCACTTCAAAGTGTAAGGCAGCCCATTCCAGATACAAATCAAGAAAATCCTCTCTGGAAGTATTCCAAGTTGAAAAGATCAAGGAGTATTGGTACCCTTTGGTTTGAAGTCTCACGCTAGTTGCAAAAAAATGTCTTCCGAGCAAACCCTGCATTAGTAACGTCGAATTTCACTTTTGACCAGTTCGACAGGAAAAATTTCCACTTAGTGTTCAAATGTTTCATCATATCTCATGTAGGGTATGGAAATTTAGTGTGTACTTACTCCAAAATGATAAGGACACACCAGAATGTTCCCAAAGGCCACCCACAAAATCAGTTCGGGTACTCAAATTCAAGTCTTATGAAGAGCGCATCCAATCACTAAACCTTTACCCATTAGAGTTCTAGCGTCTTAAAGGTTATCTTCTTATGACGTATAGCATCCTTAACACTTCTGAACATCGATTTAAACAACTTCTCAAGCTTAGTTTCAACACAAACCTTAGGGGTAATACCTAGAAACTTGAGACACAATATGGCAGAACGGACTGTAGGCACACCTTCTACTCCTTAAGGGTAGTCAAACGCCGGAAGTCGCTACGAGATGAGTTAGCTCAAGCGACTTTCTAAGAGTCCATTATGAGAAAAAGCGACATATCCTTAAGGACTAAGGGCAGTATCTTACTATGATTTATCAACTTTTTTCCTTTTCCTCTTTTATCGTTCATATGCCTAGGTTCCTACCTGGAGGCATCGATGACCCACTGCTTCTAGATGCGGAAGCCCGTTAAGTGAAAGCTTCTATTCCATCCAGAACCATTTGAACCGTTTGAACTAAGGTCACATAGCCGCCAAACTTGCGCGATTTCATCTGATGGCGGTCGGTCAAGGTTAGTCCTCAGAATGATAGGGACTGAGTATGGACACTGTAATATTTGCTTTGATGCAGTGCCATATGAAAACATGTTATTTCTTTCTGCTTGCGGGTGTTCTTTTTGCCGTCAGGTTAGTTTATTTGGCTGTAAATGAAAACTTATTATGTAGTGTATTAGACCAGAGCCAAATAGTCGTTTTGTTTTATAAATATGTATGTTTAAGATTTTTTGATCAGCAAAGGTATTGTTAAGTTTCTGTAGGCAATTACTCAGGCGTCCAGTCAGTCAGTTTATCTACAAACAAAATGCTTGAATATATGAAATAGTTAGACTGCTAGATACAGTGTAGCTCAAGTACCTAGTAAACGAAGAGCTTATTTCTGCTCAGCACATTCCTCACAAGGCCTTAGAAGTGGCTAGTTGAGGTGAGTTAAATGAACATTTGGCGTATAATACATAGAAACCATTCGAAAATCCGAAGACATTTGCATAATATAGGTATTATAACGCCTAGTAGCTTAGTAAAAACCCCACTAATACTTCTTGACTTTGTCACTGTGATTCTGTTATTTACAATCACGATTTAGACTTCCGTAACTACATTTTTATTAGTTGTTCTTAGGAGAGGGTTTAAAGTTGGTACTCTTTCAGAGGATTAACCTGAATCTCTTGGCTTCAAACACTGGCGTCTTTTCCAAGTTGTTTAGGTTTCAGTGATTGTAACCGGACCATATTAGTTGATAACATTAAACTGCTACTCAAACGTAGTGTGAAAATCACCTTGTATATATATTGCTAACCACTTAAGAATCATCTTGGTATTCGCGTTTGTTTAAAAAAAGTTATATTATGGTTTGTTACCGTTTTTTAGTATATTATTATTCATCTGGCTTATACTTATCAAGATAACATTACGTGTATCACTCTAGCTTTTTTTCTTTTTTAAATGTATCTGCCTCTGAAACAGTAAAAGAAAAGAATTCTTCGGGTATGCTATTTTCGAGCGAAAAATACTTTAAATCAACGTCTGTAGGTGCTCAGCGACCATATTAGGAGGATTTTTATTGTCGTTCATTTGAGACGTCACCACTTATTGCTTGTAATCAAAGTTAAGTGACTGAATCGTTTTCCACTACTGCATATATAGCAAGGCAACAAACTGACACAAAAACCTCAGTAAAGTTTAGATCATATCCCTAGGTAGTTTTTTGCCATCTCTCTTCACCTTCCTATTTTTCGTAGTGATTTTACTATTTAGCACATATTTTAGTCCTTACGGATTTCTGTTCAAAAAAGAATTTAATTATGATTCGAAGCATGCGAAAATTAGGTGTTTGTTTCACATAAATATTTTGATTAGTGTATTGTTGTAAAAACATGATATGTATTGCTAGTGACCAGGGCATTGGATTTGTCTTCCGCCTGAAGGGACGATTGGACAGGTGTAAATTATGCTGTGACCGAGGTTTTGACTTAAATAATAGCCGATTTTCAGTTGACTCGAATACGGTGGATATATTAAGCTTTAACATATCCTTAGCTTTAGACAGCTGTACAATACGATATTTGGATGTTTACGTCTTGCGAAGTCTATAGATTCTAGTCTCAAGTACTCAGTGTTTTCATAAAGTACGATAAAAGAAATATGCTTCACTCGAATGTTCAAACCAATTTGTCGATAAACCGGTTGTGCAGCTGTATGCATATATTGTACGGATTTGATTTTCTGTCATATGATCTGGTCTACATATCGTACCATTTTTATCTATGGTATCACTGTATATCGTACTACTCATTTCCGTTACCGAACGAGTCTTGGTGCAGTAGGGCATTTGGAACTGTACCACCCAGACGAAATTACATCACTTTTAATTAAAAAGATAAAGTCATACAATTAATAAATAACAGGAGCAGTACGCACCGAACAATATGCTTCAAGTTATAGCAAAACCGGGATTAATTACTTCCCTTCAAAGGAAACATCTTTTTACGAGGAATTCAATAGAGTAACCACTGACATTTATTCTAAGCTAGATCACATAGCGTTTTAGACCACTGAATCCCATGATTCCTCGGGCTTCACTCACCTAATCGTGGAATTATGGTAAGACTAAGCAATCCTGTGAAAAAATGCTGTTGGTTCAAATAGCTGGAAAGAATGTTATTTTCTCATGTTATGTTTTCACAGTTTTCGTGATGAGCTTTCACTAAGTTAACAATTTTTTTGGACATCCTCGTTCAACAGACAATCCTTTTTGGGAAGTCGAAAGCCTTAATATAAAGATCTATCGTTACCATAATATTTACAGCGCTGTTCAAGGGTTCGGTGAGGAGTGAACAAAAAAAGGATATGCTGCTCTGGCTTCGCAAAAAATGTGGATTATGCAAACCGATTTATATACTGATGACATTCATTAAACAAACCCTTTATAACGGTAGATTAAGATCGTTTTATAGCAGCATCAATTCCTGCTACATTGAAGTTTACTATTCAACTGTGTATTTGAACGAATTTTAAAAGTCGTAAAATCTAAGTGTTTTGGGAGCTTTACAAAGCTTCCATTGTTATAACTGTTTACTTATCAATCGAGAGTATATTCATATCAAAGCTTGCGTTAACTCTAAGTATTTTTACTTCATAGTGCTTGAAAACGTATGTTATTACAGTATTACGAGATCGAGTTGATGTTAACTGTGCTTGTCCAAGTTATCCATGTAGTCAAAGTGGTCATTTGACAGACTCTGAGGTAGGGTGTTTCAGTTATCCAAATTTCTGTTACTCTAGATAAGAGAATTGCTGCCTTCTGACGTTTACGAACGTTTTTCTGTAAAGAAGCTTCAGCGAGGTCAGTTTGTTGTCCATTTTTCCCAACTGTAACATAAATATTCAGAAATCGAGCAGAATGTAAACCTAACATTTTGCCCAGCAGTAAATTGTGGTGCTGTGTGCCAGATTCCTTCTATTTTAAAAGTACCCATACGAAATGGAATAAACCCATCTACCAGAAGTAATAAACATGCTTTGGAACGGTTTACTAGATGGTACAGAAGATATCTTTGCAGTTCACAAGGAGATACCACTCATGTTTCTCCCAGCACCAAAAGTACGAGTTTTCATGCCGATGACACATCGAAAATTCCAAATAACGCATATTACAAGCCTATCAGTAATCTCAGGGATGAAGACAAAGAAGATTGTGTAACGGTAAGCATTATTTTGTTTTTCAACTTGATTTAGTGAACTAATTGCGCTATTTCCTGTTTGTTTTGTGCAATTTTTTGGTTTTGGTACGTGAAACGTTGGGTTTAGTTATTCTGTCACTAAACTATATATTTATAGGACATTGAATTTTTAGTTTCTGCGATGTGGTATTTCGCGTAATATTGTCGGTTATGTATTCAGTTGGATATCATGTTTGATTAAGTTGCACTCTGTGAAAGTTCTCATATCTCACTTATTATAATGGTAATGCTTTACGATAAATGTGTCTCATGCTATGGTTATTTAGTTGTATTGTGTATTCAATGTTGGCAAGTAACCTCTTTTTTACCATAGTTTTAAAGTTTATTGTTTGTTTGGTTATTTCCCATAATTTAACACCAATTTACGAAGTTGTAAAAGCTGTTTGCATGATGGTAAGAATCCGTAATTTCAAAATTTGAAAAATTCTGCATTTATTTCACAGCTGTTAACATTTTCTTTCTGTAGACACCCACCAGTGAAGGTGCTGGAGAGAAGGATTTACTCTATATATCTGAAAAAAGAACGTTGATGTGTCAAGTGAGTCCTGGTCGCCCAGCTGTACGCGTCGTATGCAAACAGTGTTCTCATGAATTTTGTGCTCGATGTCATTTAAACTGGCACATCGGAGTTGGACCGTATGTGTGTGAAGAATATCCTCGTAACGTTGTCAAGGGAAATAAAAATTTAAGCACTCAATTTACTAGTCAACAAAATTTACTTGGAATTTTGGAGGAAAATGTAAATGCCTCGGATCATATTAACCCTCATTCAGAACCAGATCCTATTACATTTCAGAAACACCAGTCACAGTCTGTAACGCAAAATCCAGAAATCATCAAGTCATTACCATCCTTGAGAAAACCTCCAGAGAAAAACAAAATAAATAAAGTCTCACTCCGGCGATCCAAAAGAAAACGGCGTAATTATTTACAGAGTCATGCAGGTATTCATCTTTCCAATCAGGATATCAGTGATACAATTGATGTCTCCGTTCTTGCCGTTGGGTTCCCTCCATATTCTCCTGATGACTGGCTGAAACGTTGTCCTGCCTGCTTAGTCCCTATTGAACGTATCGAAGGTTGCGCTCAAATGATGTGCCGGTCATGCAAACATACCTTTTGCTGGTATTGTTTGACTTCATTGGATGTAAGTACATTTCATAAAATAATATTGTTACGCTGGTCATTTAACTTTTGACTGAGTTCGGTCTGCACTTACATATATGTAGGCCTGGTACTGCTTTAATTGATTAAATTTGAAATAACTGTGCTTGCTTTTCATAACTAGTGTCATGGATATCTGTTTCGATTTGAAAACGTTTTTGAATAATTAGCACAAGTATGCTTATTTTCTCATGAATCTATCACAGTGAATAAAGATATAGGACAAGTACTGGAAATTCATTATCAATGTTATTTAAACCTAGGAGTTAAAGTAAAAAGTGTTGATGATTACGATTGGTTCATGGTAATATTAACTGTTACAACGAACCTAATGTACTGATTGAATATTGAAGCGATCAAGTAAATGTTACGAATGAGTCCAATCACATTCATGAAAGTTTCGGAGTTTAGAAAAAACAAATACCGATTATGAATAGTCGACCGTTCAGAATTATAATAAAGGTAACAGTTACTTCTACGTAGGATATTGTTGCATTTTGGCTGAAACACAATATCACTTACTTACGCCTGTTAACCCTCATGGAGGAGCATAGGCCGCTCACCTGTATTCTCCATCCAACTCTGTCTTGGACAATTCTTTCCAACAGTTTCTCATTTCTATTAATCCTTTTCGTGTCTGTTTCCAGTTCTCAACGCGTTGCGTTCTTTAGTCTCCCTCTTTTCCGTTTCCCTTCAGGATTCCAAGTTGGTGTATGGTGTATGCCTCGTGATGCAGTTTGGTGATTTCCACAATATATGTCTTATCCACTTCCATTGTCTTTTCCTAATTTTCTCTTCAACTGGAGGGTGATTTGTTCTCTGCCACAGAAGGCAGTTGCTGATGGTATCTGGTGAACAAGGGACATTGAGTGTTTTGAGTAGACAATTGATTATAAATACTTGTACTATTTCGATGGTGGTTGTATTAGTTCTATAAGTTTCATCTCTGTCCATTAGAATTAATTTTACGTTCGTACTGGATCTTGTGACTTTGATATTGGTTGACAGAGAGTTGTTTTTAGTTGGATATGTTGTTGAAGTGTGTGAATGCTGTTGTTTGTTTGCCAATGCTTTTCTTTACGTCTGCATCAGATCCTCCTCGTTCATCGATGATGCTGCTGTTCAGGTATATGAAAGTTTCCACCATTTACAGAGTTTCTCCATCAAATATGATTGTGTTGGTATTTCTTTCCAGTTGTTTTCCATAGTAGTTTTTTTCTTGTTTGAGTATGTGTTGTAGGACTTGGGAGCTGTTGTTGAGAGTTATCTTGAATTGGTTGAGTTTGTCAGTATGTCGAAGGAAGTGTGTATTGAACCTTTGTGGTGCTGTTTCTGCATTTGTCGAGTACTTCTTTAGCTTCAGTTTCATGTTGGCAACCGCCAGTTGGTGGTGATTTGAATCCATGTGAGCTGCTTTCCTGGTTCTCACGTCTTCGTGCATCTTGTGAATTTTTTTAGTGATGCGAATATGACCGACCGGATTCTGTGTAGTGTGATTTCGTGAGATCAGTGTAGCTTTGTGTGTGTTTTTGTGTAGGAATATTGTATCGTCTATAAAGATTTTGTTGGATGCACATAAATCTGCAAATCTGTCACCATTTTCGTTCGTTTCTCCTGGTGAGTTCATGTCGTCCGATGACATCTTGATAGCCGGTGTTGTGTATTCCGACTTTGGAGTTTAGGTGTGCCATGAGAATGTTCAGGTCGTTTCCTGATCACTTCACTATGGTTAATTGCAGGCTCCCATAGAACTGATCTTTATCATGTTGACTACTATCATTGGTGGGTGCATAACATTTGATAACTTTGGTTGTGATAGTCTTATTCGTTGTTTTGAATAATGGTTTGGTGATTGTGGATGCATGAGATTTGTAGTGTCAGTTATTATGCCAAGCTCATATACCTTATTCGAGCTTTCGGACATCCCATTCTATTCATTTTACTTGAGCCATACATTGACCTTGTTATTTATTCGCTTATCAATCTAGACTGTTTTTATATGAGCGTATATGTTTGTGCCCTTCTTATTCCATTAATCACATGTCTGTAGCTTTATTTTGTCTGACTATAAATATTGAATAACGCTTGACAAAGATGGAGTTGGCTTCCCAGCCATCTTCCATACGCTCTAAATGGAGTCAGATCTACTACCACAAAAGATTCCCATCCTATAAGTGGTTTACATGCTTCTTTGTATAGCTTCAGAGCAACTGTGTGAGTGTTTGGGGCATTTCCGTGTTAGTGACCAGAGTGCAGCATGATCTCTCTCTAATCTATCTCTTCATTTCGACATCTATTTGATTTGTCCTTTTGGTTTCTGGGGGGAAGCAACAACCAGCGTAGCAGCATCCTTAGCAGCAGTAGGTCTCAACATACACAAAGGGAAAAGCAAGATTTTCCGACACAATACAGCATGCACCAATCGAATCGCACTTGACGGAAAAGCTTTGGGAGATGTAAAAACCTCTACATATCTGGGCGGCATCATTGATGAACACAGTGGATCTGATGCAGATGTGAAGCCGTGAATTGGAAAAGCAAGAGCAGCACATTTACAATTGAAGAAAATCTGGAACTCAAAGCAACTGTCAATCAACACCAAGGTCAGGATTCTCGATACAAGTGTCAAGACAGTTCTACTATCTACTGGGGCGGAAACCTGGAGAACTACGAAAGCCATCATCCAGAAGATACAGGTGTTTATCAACAGTTGTCTATAAAAAAATACCTCAGATTCGTTGGCCATACTTCATCAGCAACAATCTACTATGGGAGGGAACAAACCAGATTCCAGCGGAGGAAGAAATCAGGAAGAAGCTCTGGAAGTGGATAGGACACACACTGAGGAAAATGCCCAACTGCGTCACAAGACAAGCCTTCACTTAGAATCCTTAAGGCTAAAGGAGAAGTGAGAGACAAAGGATTATATTACGTCGAGAAATGAAGACAGATATGAAAAGAATGAACGAAAATTGGATAGAACTAGAAGGGAAGGCCCAGAGCAGAGTGTGTTGGAGAATGCTGGTCGGTGGTCTATGCTCCATTAGGATTAACAGGCGAAAGTAAGTAAAGTCTGGTTTCCTACATTGTTCGGATATTTTATGCACCTATATTAGTCGTTATTCTGGTTGTTAAAAGGGTTATTGGCCTCGTGACTTCTCAAGAATCTAGGCTTTCATCATGTGGCGTCATAATTTTTCTTTCAACTCAGAGGACAGAGGCTAAATGGTTTAATTTGTCTAATGTGGTTAGCTTTTTTTAACAGGAATTTTTTCTGTGTTGGGGTTGCCGTCCCGAAGTCCAACCCTTCTCCTTTACCCATACTTGGATCCGGCAGTATCTCTAGAAGAGCTATTGGTGGTGTTATTATTGTTCAAACTGCCTTAAATTTTTCTACATTATTTTGTAAAACATGAAATTGCTTTTCATTTATGTATAGATGAAGTTCATTTAAAACTGTAAGCTTACAAAATAAACGATCACCTATGTCATAGAAATAAACAAGTTATCCCATAACTTAACATTTATAAGTAGAAATACAGTGAGAGTGATTGAAGATTTAAATTCCGGTTTTTTATTTTCTAAACAATTTTCTTTTGGCAGTAGTAACTAAATAAAGTAAATACTTTTCCATGTGACCTCAAACCATGATAGAAATCCCGTCAATAAATAGTTGCATTAGTATGATTCTTTAAATATATCGGTAAAATAACAAAAGTTCTTTTACACAAGACAATTGGAACTTAGACTAGAAATTATATTATCAGTGCTCATAAGTACTATTAAGGAATATAAGTTCTTTATAAAAATAAAATTCAAATAGTATCTTTTTATAGTATTTGTTGTGGATGCGGAGGAATAGACCAATAATTATCATGTTATGTCCAATGGTGTCCTTGGACTTTAAATAGACATCTCCTATTGGTCGATATCTGTTCACTCGTTCAATATTGTACAAAATGTTGTTTTCTATTTTATGGTACGATGTGGTATGCTTGATTGGTATATAAACAAAGTATGTTTGAAATATAGTGATTCATAACTCAGAGGCTGTGACTTGTATTCTTGACTCAACTGGCTAGGACAGACAGCGAAGCAGGGCCAATCAGGGCACTGGGTCGTCCACTACGTGTTTTACGTGTCACTGTCCACTGTAATCGATGGATAAATACGCTGCTTATCAAAACCTGCAGTCACACCCGTTACAACAGTATTTTAAAATTTTTCACGGTAACTTTTATTTTATTTGAATGACAGTATTTCATAGATCATGGATTTTATACGATTTTGTCATATTTAAAAACATGAAGTTCAGAGAAGGGGGCTCTTTTCAACGAATTTATTATCAAGCTGTACAATCGTATATATTAATAATTCATTTTTACATTGTTTGTTTGAATCTTCCCATTGATGTTATGGACTTCAATTGATCAGTCTCTTATTGGTATATGTTCATTCTGTGTAGATTTCTTCGATATTCCCTTAATTTACATTTTAATTGTCTTACTCCATACACATTATAATCCTTTGTTAACTTAGTAATCCCTTCACTGAACTTCATGTTTCTTAATGTTCTAATGGAGATTATTTGTCATATTTATCAATTATTGCTTTGTCAGTGTAATTTATCGGAAATTTTTTCACTGATACTTTATTTTCCAGGATGATTTCCTTCTTCAACATTATGATGACGGGGCCTGTAAAGGAAAACTCGGTCATTCTCGTGCATCAGTAATTGGTCATCGAGTTTATGTAAGTTATTTTAGTGTAAAAAAAGGTTGGTTATATTCTTCACAATTTCCTTAATTGGAAATACTGTTATCTGTTGCGGTTTTGCTATGCATTGATTAAGTATGCTTTCATTAAATCAAACGCTTTAATTAACAATTTTTGATCTCATTTCGTTTGGCAAGATTTAGGAATTTCGTAGAAAAAAAATTGAATTTTATGTAATCGTTGTAAATCATCACTTTCATTGGTTCATATTATCCATCTGTTTTTCAACATTCAGTAAGTGTTCAATATCTAACATTTTCAGGTATTTTTCCATTCATCCAGTGGGTAAGTGATACATTTAAGAGTGTAGTCTTCATTGGAGATTTCATCTTAAGCGTCTGAATTTATCCACATCTGTTTACGGTGAACATATCAGTTTACCACATTTCAATGTGCAGGATGAGGTGAAAGTTAAAGCCTAAAATCAAATCTTCAGTGAAAATCACACTCTTGTTTACAGAGTTTGACCACTAAATAAACGGAAAAATGGCCGAGAATGCTTGGGTACCGCTGGTAACCTCAGTCCCGTCGTTCACTTATCAAGTTATATTTATCACTTCTGAGTGTTCGTTTTTTTAAAATAAAAATTTCTATTTATAAAGATTTGGTAAAAACTTGATGATTTAAATTAAAAATCATTATCACATCAAATCTTTCAATTAATAAAATATTGAGATAAATGGCTATTTGACTATGCGATTGTCCATCATAAATAACAATTTTATTTTTCATCAGAAGTTGATAAATATCCAATGCTACCTTGCTTATACATGCTTTTAAACTTGCCAATTAGTGAGGAAAATACTTGATCATTCAATTATGGATCAAAAACTATTCCACCTAGACCTGCGTGTAATCTTTGTGTATTCAACTTTCAGTCAGTGTTTTCAATCTTAGACATATGATCTATTTTGGTTAGAATGATTGTTAGCGGGACATAGACTGGATTAAAACATGCTCAATGCACGATTGCTGTGCTGCACGTTGATTGGCTAATTCTTATCCAATCAGCGTTAGCCAATACTTAGTGAACACTAGAAATCTCATGTGAAAAGCTATAAATATACTAGCGTTTTCCCTATTGAACTTCTTACTTGCTTCTTGCTTCCATCTAACCTTGTTATTTGGAATATAATCTCTTTCCTGTTCAACCGTGTTCTGATTTGGGGACTTGTCGAGTTAATCGGTGTCCGAGAATACTAAGCAATAGGAATAGCTGGGTCATACCATAAGAAAGAGACTATAACAGATTAAATAGTATACTAGTGTATTAGTTTAAGCCTTTTAACGAGGTACACACTTCCATATCATGATTCACGTGATAGTCATGTTTAGTGATTTGGTGATGTCAGGCAATATGGCTCAAAGTCGACCACATTAACATAAATTTTTTCTTCATCTTCCCATAAATCGTGAGTAGTAATACTAGTCAATCTCTTTTTTATTTCTTGATTTTATTTCTTTACAAATTAACAAAAATGGCGCTATTATTTTGACTTCTTTGATATGTCTTTGTTGATATCTCGTTTTACTAACTTGGTGTAGCAACTTCGCGTGATGTATATTTGTGTCAGGTCTTACATTGCTTGCGACTGACTAACTTGTCTAACTTTTGTAGGTAGGATTACATATACATGTTTACACACTTGTCTTTAAGGTATAAATTTTATGTAATGATTAATGGTGCTATGCGGTTTCTCAGGTTGAATTGAATGGCCAGAGTTTGGACGTATGACTTAATAACACTGAAAAGCATTTATAACGATCAAGGTTTGTATATTTTCACAGCAATTCTACTTTACTACTAAACTATTGTATAGAATGATAGCATTTCGGTATTTTTTAATTTATCAAATTGACGTCAGGTTTCATTCTATAGGTCATTACTGCTGTGTAAAATCTTTCATATTTACCTTTGACTTATAGGCATAGTTACAATTTGATTTTTAAAATATTTTCAGTTTTATGTGCTGACGGAATGATTTTATGATAATACGTTTGTGTTTTTTTAGTGAGGGCTTCCACCTTTATGTTGTAATATTCTACTAGCTTAAGCTTCTTTTTCTGACGGTAAGCGGCTCAAATAACCCAGTTAGTGACATGTTCAAATGTCTTAGTTAAACATCACTTCTCACACTATTGTAAATATCCTTTACTGATAAGTCCAAACCAGTGTCAAACTCAGGTTCAAAGTCTTCTACTCATTGTCTTTAAAGTTGTGACTGCATAAATCTGATATAGACAAACATCTAATTTGAGTATATGTCATCCTAGTTAGCGGTTTCAATAAGTTTGAGTCTAACTCCAAAGTTACATTACATAACATGAAAAGGTGGGTACAGGCATCAACTTATCCCTCTTCTTGATTTCATTACTTATCCAATTACGATTGATTCTTTTTGTAAAGCTATTAATTTTTTCGATTGATTTGTTGTGAGTAACGGTAAATTATACTAGTCTTCTTTCACGTATTGTTAGACTATTATCTTGTTTATTTATGTATTTTGTTTACACCTAAAATCAGGTTGTCAGTGTATTTACTGGATTAACGATTTTATTACTGGTTGCTGCTCCATTTATCATGGTTGCTGTGCCATGTATTATTTGTGCAAAATGTCACCGGCTTTATCGCCAACACCGTCTACGCAAACGGCATTCTCAGGGTTTATATATGGTTAATGGTCGTGTATTAAATACACCTATATCTTCTAATGTGCAAAATGATCGAACAGATACACCTCAACCTACTTCATCAACTCCTCATCATAGTATATTTATACCATCTTGTAGATCGTCTATTGTTAGTGCTGATCACCGACCAACTGTCGAACAAAAAGCTGATATTCATTGGTCACCTTGGCAAAACGAATTCAAATGTACATCTACTCGTAAAGTTATGCATCGCTCCAAATCTGTACCTGCTTACTGTTGTACAGTACCACTTAATAGCCTACTCATGACTTCACATACGCCGTAAATTCCCTGAGTTTTTAGTCGTAATGGAAGATCAAGAAGTTATATATATATTTCACAATCGTTTCTGTGTTCACAAAATTCATAGTAAATGATCTTATCAAATCTTTTTTTTGCTTGTATACTTTGTATGCGAAAAAAGGAAAACATATCTCAATACTTACATTCTTTTATTCCTTGATACACCATATAATATTAATAATAGTAACCTTTTTTTACTTAAGTTTCAGCGTTCTGTTCTATTGTCAGAATATCCTTGCAATGATGCATTTATTAGTTTGTCTACTTTCATTTACTTTTAACTTGATCATATAATTGTAAGTCTGCATATGTATGTAGATAGCTATCTAGACATATGTACATAAATATAATCATTCCAAGAGTGAAATTAATGCATGATATCTCTCTTAACATCTACACTACCCCCATAAACTAATTTTTCTCTATCACTGTGAATGTTACTTGTTGTGTCAATTCAATTTTCTTTTGCATTGCCCTATTCTCTTGAAAGTTGTATCACAATAAAAAGCACCGTCCCTAGTGAATTGCATATATATATATATATATATATATATATATCACTTATCTATTTGCTTAGAATAATTATTAACTTATTTGTTTATTTACTTATTTACAGTAATTTGTTTCTATCTAGTTCTCTCTTTTTCGCTAAATTGACTTCGTTTTTTTTAATTTAAGAAAAAGACACTATTCTTATATATGCATGCAATATTAATGTTTTGTCTTCTTTTAAAAGTTCAATTCTATCTATTACTTGTTCAAACAATACAATATACAAAACAAAAAACTTTCATACTTTCCAGGGATTATTTTCATTTGTATGTATGCACACATGTATAACATTCGTTGTGTGCTTTTTCATTTCATCTCTTTTACACACTATTCTTACCAAGTACGTAGTTTCCATAAGTATATATTATCTTCTTACTGATATTCTATGACTTAGAATATCTTAGGTAAAAATACTAATTTTACTAGTCATGAACTTGCATTTCTCATTCTTCTTTATCTCTACTGTGATAAAATTTTGTACAAATATAATATATACGTATACTATTTATTATTTATAGTCTTAATTGGTTATGCAACTATTAATTGCATATGATACCGCTTGTTGTTAGACTCGTCATTGTTATTGCTATTACTAATATTGCAACATGTTACTACTTTTATCATTACTATTTTTAATATTATTACTTTACTTGTAACATTTGCATTCTTAAGTTGGGTGATTGATTAGCGCTTGTGTATCAATTTACTGAGCTTATTTCTTTTCTCTTTTCATACTTACTTACTACTTACTTACGCCTGTTACTCCCGCTGACCAGCATTCTCCAACCCACTCTGTCCTGGGCCTTCTTTTCTAGTTCCATCCAATTCTTGTTCATTTTTCTCATGTCTATCTCCATTTCTCGGCGTAATGTGTTCTTTGGTCTTCCTCTTTTCCTTTGACCTTCAGGATTCCATGTGAGGGCTTGTCTTGTGACGCAGTTGGGTGCTTTCCTCAATGTGTGTCCTATCCACTTCCAGCGCTTCTTCCTGATTTCTTCCTCCACTGGGATCTGGTTTGTTCTCTCCCACAGTACGTTGTTGCTAATAGTGTCCGGCCAATGGATCCGAAGTATTTTGCGTAGACAATTGTTAATAAACACCTGTATTTTCTGGATGATGGCTTTTGTAGTTCTCCAGGTTTCTGCCCCATACAGTAGAACTGTCTTGACATTTGTATTGAAAATCCTGACCTTGGTGTTGGTTGACAGTTGCTTTGAGTTCCAGATGTTCCTCAGTTGTAAATATGCTGCTCTTGCTTTGCCGATCCGCGCCTTCACATCTGCATCAGATCCACCCTGTTCATCAATGATGCTGCCCAAATACGTAAAGGTTTTTACATCTTCCAAATCTTCTCCGTCAATTGTGATTGGATTGGTGCATTCTGTGTTGTATCGGAGAATCCTGCTTTTCCCTTTGTGTATATTGAGACCTACTGCTGCTGAGGCTGCTGCCACACTGTTTGTCTTCTCCTGCATCTGTTGTTGCGTTTGGGATAGAAGGGCCAGATCGTCTGCGAAGTCTAGATCATCCAACTGCATCTTAGATGTCCATTGTATCCCGCGCTTTCCTTCAGACGTTGACGTCTTCATGATCCAGTCGATCACCAGGAGAAAGAGAAAGGGTGAGAGTAAGCAACCTTGCCTAACACCGGTCTTCACTTCGAACGACTTTGTCAACTGTCCTCCATGCACGATTTTGCAGTGTAATCCATCATATGAGTTCTGTATGATATTGACTATCTTCTGAGGCACGCCGTAGTGTCGAAGAAGTTTCCATAGTGTTGTTCTGTCCACGCTATCAAATGCCTTTTCGTAGTCAATGAAGTTGATGTAGAGTGATGAATTCCATTCAATTGATTGTTCCACAATGATCCGTAGAGTTGCGATTTGGTCTGTACACGATCTATCCTTACGGAATCCTGCCTGTTGGTCACGAAGTTGGACGTCTACGCAGTCCTTCATCCTGTTTAACAATACCCTGTTGAAGACTTTTCCCGGTATTGAGAGAAGAGTGATGCCCCTGTAGTTATCACACTTGCTGAGATCGCCTTTCTTCGGTATTTTGATCAGTAGTCCTTCTTTCCAGTCTGTTGGTACTTGTTCCTCATCCCAAATCTTATTGAAGAGAATGTGGAGTATCCTTGCAGTTGCCGCTACGTCTGCTTTTAGTGCCTCTGCTGGGATGTTGTCCGGTCCTGCTGCTTTGCCACTCTTGATTTGTCTGATGGCCATGCTGATTTCTTCAATTGTTGGTGGGCCAACATTGATTGGGAGGTCCGTGGGTGCTGCTTCGATGTTGGGTGGGTTCAGTGGAGCTGGTCGATTCAAGAGTTCTTTGAAGTGTTCTACCCACCTGTTTTGTTGCTCTTCAATGTTGGTGATTACCTTGCCTTCCTTGCTTTTCACTGGTCGTTCTGGTTTGCGGCGATTTCCAGAGAGTTTCTTTGTCGTGTCATACAATTGTCTCATGTTTCCTTCTCTTGCAGCCTTTTCCGCCGTCGTTGCTAAATCTTCCACATATTTACGTTTGTCGGTTCTGATGCTCCTCTTCACTTGTTTGTTTATTTCCGTGTATTCAGCTTGTGCCTTGGCTTTTTCTGCTCTTGTTCGGCTGGTATTGATCGCTGCCTTCTTGTTCCTCCTTTCTTGAATCTTGTCCAATGTACCAACAGTGATCCATTCCTTGTGGTGGTGTTTCTTGTGACCCAGGACCTCATGACATGTTGAAGTGATTGCCTCTTTGATCCCCTTCCAGTTGCTCTCCACAGTAGTTCCTTCTCCATTGAGTAGATCATGAAAGGCCTGGAACTTGTTGCTGAGGACTATCTTGAATTTGTTGAGTTTGTTAGTATCCTGGAGAAAGGCCGTATTGAACTTTTGTGATACTGTCTGCCCCGTTGTCCAGTGCTTCTTGAGTTTCAATTTCATCTTGGCGACCAGTAAGTGATGATCTGATGCTATATCAGCTCCTCTCTTGGTTCTCACGTCCTCTATAGTCCTCCTGAACGTTTTGTTGATGCAAATATGGTCGATTTGGTTTTGTGTAGAGTGATCCGGTGAAGTCCATGTGGTTTTGTGTATGCGTTTATGTGGGAATATGGTGCCGCCTATGACCAGCTTATTGAAGGCACATAGATTTGCAAATCTCTCACCATTTTCGTTTCTTTCTCCCAGTCCGTGTCGTCCCATGATGTCTTCATATCCAGTGTTGTCCGTTCCAACCTTGGCGTTGAAATCTCCCATCAGAATGGTCAGGTCCTTTGTTGGGCACTTCTCGACGATTGACTGCAGCCTATTGTAGAATTGATCTTTCGCGTCTTCATTGTAGTCGTTGGTAGGCGCATAGCATTGAATGATGTTCATTGAAATGCCCTCTTTCTTTGTTTTGAAGGAGGCTTTGATGATCCTTGGTCCATGAGATTCCCATCCTATAAGTGCATTTTGTGCTTGTTTGGACAGCATCAATGCAACTCCTTGTGTATGTGGTGCATTTTCTTCTTCGTGGCCGGAGTATAACAGGAGCTCTCCTGTAGTTAGTCGTTGTTGTCCAACTTGTGTCCAATGTGTTTCACTGATCCCAAGTACCTCTAGGTTGTATCTTCTCATTTCTGCAGCAATCTGGAAGGCTCTCCCGGTGTCCCACATTGTACGAACATTCCATGTACCTAAATAAATGGTCGCTCTGGTTGTCAGAAGGGGCATCGGCCTCATAACTTCCGAAGGGATTCGGCTTTCATCATGAGGCGTCATAATTCTTCTAAATGAAGATCTTCTGACTCCCAGGGCAGAGTTTAAAAGGTTTGAATAATTTTTTCTGGTTAGCGTTTTTTTAGCGAGTTATTTTTCTACGGGATGGGGACGCTAACCCCATGCCCAACCCTCCTCCTTTATCCGGGCTTGGGACCGGCAGTAGCCCCCAGAGGGACTCCAGGCGGAGTTTCTCTTTTCATACATTTGTCTTTTCTTTAATGAAACAGTGGTTTGTAATAGTAACTTGTGTTTA